TATGCTGATCAAAACGCCTAAACCACACAGACTAGGTTTCGATAGCCATGGACAAAACTAGATCTTGAATAACAAATTAAAATAATTATTTTGTTTTTTTAGAATGAAACGGCAAAATGAAAAGTTTAAATTATATTTCTAACAATATTATATTATAGATTTTAAAATACTTGCAACATAAGTGTAATGCAAAATAAAAATAAAATCTTCATGCTCGCAAGCTGTCTATACAGAGTAAATATTCCTATCGAAAGCAATCCCAGAAAGTTTCGGATTAAAGAGGAAGCGAATATCCATGAAGATACTTAGAATCCACACTTGACCTCGTGCCAATGCCACCCGTCCTGTTCATGCTACCTATTCAGAGAACATGCAGTTTCTTCAAAATAAATATCATGAAGTTTTTGCTAGGCATGGAAGCTAAATGATAGAATGCATTGTTATACTCTATAGATGAGACTACTGACTCTTATCATTCGTTGAAAATCTGTAAACAAGAAAACAAACCTCGCAAATTCCGTAGGGCTCGAGCAGTCTTTGTATAGCTACCATCTTGTCCAGATCTCCAGTAAGCTGTGGCAAGCATTTTAAACCTAAATTGTCAGTATCATCAATCAAAAAGATTAACTGGTCACTCATTCCTAATAATAAATTCTTTTTTCCTTCACTCCTCTCCTTTCATTAACGTGGCAAAAGACTTTTTCTAAAGAATGACCCTTGAAAAGCTAAAGAACACTAATAAAGGGATCCTTTAACAACCATATAAAACTTCTGTTCTACTTTCTAAACAAAGGGGTTCACAATTTCACATGCTAAGGGTTGATATGAAATTACAACACTTTTTCATGTGCATTTCTCACAATTGAAAGTTTGAAGAGCCAAAGTAAGCTAAGACAAGGGGTAAAATAATTGGCATGTTCAAGAAAAATATCAAATTTGTAAATTATGTTTCCTGAAAGAAGTAGATGAGATATATAATATGATAATGCTGTGCAAAACTCAATGCTTAAAAATGCTAACCTCAAGAGTGATTGTGTGATCAGACACATCAACAGCCTTGCCCCTAAAAATGTTGACAATGTCAAGTACATCTCTTCTTGCAACAGCATTCACAGCAACCTTTATCAGCATTAACTCTTGTTCAGCAAAAGGCAAGTGGGTAAGATCCCAAACCTAAGAAGTTAAAACTAGCAGTCAGCCATTGGTTCACTACACACATCATATATGCAGAAATTGTAACCACGACCCATCAGACATCAAATACCCATAAATTTTAACCATGACCTATCAAATAGACTTGATACTATACAAATCCTAATTGAATAACAGTAGTTACATCAGTTACAAATGTCGACAGATAATAAGTGCAATATTCATACGACACGTTGCAAAAAAACTAGTCATGCTTCATTTAAGAACACTTTAGTATTTATATCGATGAAGTAATTATAAAGCCAACAAGAAGGGAAGCAGAAAATGAATGAACAAGCTTGTATGCATTTAACCTGTAAAATATAAAATTGAGGATGATCTGATGATAGTGAAGGGAAAGCTTCAAAATTACAATTATAAAATCTATTGCTCCTCACAATTAAGAGATTATATGACACTTGTGCATTTGATGAGCATTTCATAACAAAATTGAAGACACTGGGAAGCTTGAGGCACGACAAGCTGGTCCCCCTCCTAGGATTCTGCATGCAGTCAAAGGAAAGGCTTCTAGTTTACAAATACATGACAAAAGGTAGTCTTTATGATTGCCTACATCCTGAGGAAGGTGAGGCAAGAATCATGGAGTGGCCCTTGAGGGTCAAAATTGCTGTTGGAGTAGCAAGAGGCTTGGTTTGGCTCCACAACAGGTGCAATTTTCGCATTGTCCATCTTGACATTAGCTCTAAGTGCATCTTGCTTAATGAGAATTTTGAGCCCAAATTGTCAAATTTTGGAGAGGCATACTACTGAAACGAAATGACACTGATTCAACCGAGAGCAGCTCCTTTGCAAATAGTGAGTATTGGCAATCAAACTTTTTTAAGGAGGATGTTTATTGCTTTGAAAATTTTCTTCTTGGACTGATTACCAGAGAGGATTCCAAAAGAATGACAACCTTTTCAAGCAGTGGCAATGAGACTCCGGCTCGTAATGAATGGGTTACAGTGGATTTTTTCTATATATAGTTTTGTCAATAAATCTCTGATGGGGCAAGGATTTGATCAGGAAATCTTTCAGTTTCTTACGGTTGCATTGGACTGTGTTCAGCCATATCCGGATCAAAGGCCAACAATGCTTCAAGTGTACAAAACACTAGGTGCTGTTGGTAAGAAACATGGCCTCACAATTGACTCTGAGATATTGGAACACACCAAAAAAACCTTTGCACTCAAAGGAGATGAGTGCAATGAAGACAAAATCACAAAGGTTTAAAGAAACAGAAATCTGTTGCTCTAATATTACTAAGACAATGTTATACAGGTTCTCAAAGGGAGAATATTTTGATCTTCTATGCTCTCTATGTAAGAGTAGCAAATGTAGTAATATCAGTCATTTGCATGTCATATCAATTAAACACAAAACTCCTTACTTCTAAAGAAGTGGAATTACAATGAGAATATCATAACTATTATGTACAAAACCTGTTGGGCATTCTTAGAACAGTAAAAAGAGGACTTAGAGGAGAAGTAGAAACAACCAGAATTCCCTCTTTGAATGAGGTGAAACTCAATTTTCTTCCATTGATATTCTGCTATTTATAGCAGAAAACATACAACATAAAAACATACAACATAAAACAATGTTTTTCTCATGTAATATTCACCTAACACACAAAAAAAAAAAAAATTATCAAACATTTAAAGCAAGATTACATTCAAGAGATATGCTGCCATTTTGTAGCAACCCATATGCAGCACTAGCTCTTGCCCATGTTGCTGCTGTTTTTCTGTCAAGTTGCAGCCCTCATTTGCATTTCATTTGTGATTGCATTTGCTTCCTTAGTGTTGCAGCTTTGATACCACAACTCCAACCAAACCTTACTTTGTAATTTTACGGAACTGCAATTTGATCTGAACATAAATTTAATTTTCTAGGCATGCATTAGGGAATCAAACCTTCTATTGGCAGATGTTCTATTTAGGAGTCATATATACCATCTCAACCATATAATGGTCAATGACAATTCAATACATCATTAAAATTTTGACACTAATCTTTCTTTAAATAATCTCAAAGATACACTCTTATATCAATATGAAATATGTAAAGAAATTAATTTATTTTAGTGTTAATTTCAAATTTTGAATTTTGAATTTGATTTATAAACAACACTTGCTAAACTTTTATTATTGACAAGCATTTAATCATCATTTAAACTTAATTAGGAACCTGATTATAACTATTCAAGTGAAGACTTTTCATAGGGGAAGATGTTAGATTTGCAACTGAAGACTTTTGTGTGGCTGAAAAACAAAATTCGACACGGGCTGCAGTTTTTTTTTTTTTTTTTTTCGGTCAAGATATGGGTTGCAGACTTGCAGTTTCTACATTCACGAATCACGATTGGAAAACTTTACGAAGTCCGAAAGGAAGAAACAACTACATCGCTAAGCAATGACGAACACAGCTGGGCGAGGGTAATCATTGTTTTAAGTATTGTGAGGTACCATAGGTGCTAATAATTTAGTATTGTTTGTGAGACACCAAAGAAAGAACAAAAGCAAAAGACCCACGTCTGTGAATGGAGGCAGAGGTACGGGGTCATGATCAAGCATTCCGACATGGTAGGCATGGGCATATGCTGGGACCACTATATTTGTTGTAAAATTAAGTATAAATAGAAAGTGTACATTTTTTTTTCTTTTTGTCCTTGTAAGTTGTAAGGGTTGGAATACCTACTTCCATTAATCTATTTCTACTTTTGATTGATAAAAAATGGAAAAAGGAATGTGATTATAATTTATTGTGAAAATGTGGTAATAATACTTATGATCATTAACGAAGTCATGAATTTCAATAATTAACTTTACGGGTTGGTTTTACCATAAACGAAAGAACTTTACGAGTAAGTAATTACGAGTCAGTCATTTAGAACCACCTTATAAATAAATATTTTGAGAAAATTTTTTTTTCAAGATTCTTTAAGGATAAAAGATGTATTTTAGATTGCGGTTGAGAGTTTTTTGTATAGTCATACAATATTTTTAAATATAT